AGTGTATTTAAAAAAAAAAAAAAAAAAAAAAAAAAAAAGGGAACCAACTATTAGTGTAATGGGTCAGCGCAATATCAGGACAGTCAGGCCATGTGCAATACTGGAGTTTGTGCAATATAACGGATATATATCGGATGACAGTATAAAAATGTCTATCGTTTTATTTTACGCTATCGTTTGTTTTGTGGTGTCGCAAAATAAGCTGTTTACGGCAATATTTTTCATTGTTTTGATGGTCACTGTAGTGGCTATATTAATTTCTTAAAGTTCTATCTTTCTCTTATATTTTATATAACCACACTACGGGCGGACAAGCGCCTGTTTTTATGCGTTGTGGTTAGCGACAACGACGGTAACACCATCGCGTGTCCGCTTGTTTATGCTCCACATAAACCTTTCACAATAAAGCTCAAGATCCTGTTGAGACTTTTCAAAATAAACTGAATCACGTGAACGAGCAGATTATTTACGGATGAAAAGTAAAAAAAGAGCCGCCAGGTGCTAAAAAATAAACCTTAGACTCAAACGTTAGAACAGGCTTTTCCCCGCAGCACGCTGTGTAATAAATGCTCACAAAGAAAACAGCGGCCGTTACAACTTATGTCTAAAAATTAGAGCTGGGCGATATGAGATTTTTTCATATCACGATATGTTTTTTTCATTTCAGGCGATAACGATATCTATCACGATATAAGCCAAATAACTATATTTGTAAGATTTAAATGTGCCGTTGCTCACAAGTAAAATGTGAAATAATCAGCAGCTTGTTTTTATTTAAATATTTATTTCCCATAATAAGTTCAACAGGGTAGATGTACTTAAGGAACATGAGACTTTTTCAGATAAATAAAGGCAAATATTGCAAACTACACAAAAGGCAGCCGCTAAAGCGTTTAAGATTCAAAATAGAACAAACGAAACAGACTAAATTGTCAATTCCACTTAGAAACAAAATATGAATTCTAAAAATAAATCTTAGTTTGTTTTACAGAAGAACAGACAAAACTGACTAACTTTTGTCAATATCAAATAAACAGAGAACTAAAAGGAAATTCTCAATCTCTCCTTGTTGTATAGCTTAGCTTTTCAAACAGTTTTAACAGTTACTTTAGTCTGACAAAAGCCCAATGACGAATTAGCGCTTCCAGTCAGAGACTGAGGCTACGTCCACACGTACACGGGTATTTTTGAAAACGGAGATTTTCCGTTTTCGTTTTAAAAAATAATCCCGTCCACACATAAAGGCAGAAATGAAGGAAAACGCTGCTATGAACATGCCAAAGCAGCAGGTGGCGCTAGATTCCTAACCGTGCAGAAATGTTGGCCAATCAGAAGTCTAGAAGCCTCGGTGGGAAAAAGTAAACAAAGCTGGGGCATAGAAGCAGAACAGAGTCGTATGTGTGGACGGACAGTAACTGTGTGTATATGTAAGCATTTAAACACCGCAGAAAGTAGAATTAACAGTATTGTAGAAATTCATTTCACCGAAACAATAACGTGGCGCACAGTGTGATGCATGCACCAGTTTATTGTATTTCCAGACTTGCTTTCGGCATAATTTACAGTGCACGCTACTCTGTTTTTTTGTCAGACTTGAAATAGCCGAAATACCTTCACACTACGGAACTTCTATGGCTCTTCCGTTCGACAATCTCTCCGGCGTTGGAACCATCATCTGTTTTCTCTTCGGGTCACACTCGGTTGATTTTTCTAGTCGGCACACTCATTTCCTCCATTATGCGCTGGCTCCATTACCCGCTGGCTGCTTCCCAAACAAACACACGTGCGGCTTGGCACTTGTGCTGTACGTAACAAGTCACGCGACGTGACGCTACGGCTGTGATTGGTTCGGCTCTGCGCTACTTAATTTGGATTGGCTGACCTTTTTTTTTTTTTTTAAGAGGACAAGAGCGGCGAGGTCTATAGCGATAGCTTAATTTCTCTATCGAGTAAAAGTTATATCGCGATACATATCGTTATCGTTCTATCGCCCAGCTCTACTAAAAATGTATCGTTTCATGCATCGGTTAAAACACACTCGACTCCAGCTACATGACGCGCAACTGGAAACACTTCCCGCAAGTCGAGCTGCCCGAGATCCATAGAATTGACAGAAAACGTTACATTTTTGTGATTTATATCGTTATCGGGACGATAGAATTCTTATTTCGGAATATGAGATTTTGGTCATATCGCACAGCCCTAATAACTGATGTGTTTCCGTTATTGTCATCTATACTGTCCTCTGTGTCCCCTCTTCTTGTCATTGTTTGTTCTAATATAATGTGATCACTGTTTTTGTCCTTGCCACATGATCTGTAAATAGTGTCTCTGTATGTTTTTACTAACTTTTAACTCCAACCTGCCAGAGGGTCTGCAGATGAAAATCAGCCCAATGGTATAATCTGGCATATTTACATTTATTAAAATGTTCATTAATCTGTATTGCCCTTCTACACAAGTGTCTAAACAAGTTTGCATTCATAGTTTCATTTATTTTTTTCGCAACACAGTCATTATGTATAGACCTTAATACTGTTGTTGCAGATTCAAATCTGGGACTTCCAGACGCACTGCTATAATGACCCCACGCACACTAGGTGGAACTCAATTATAACAGAAAATGTCAGTAACCGAGTAGAGTCGAGTCACATTGAGTAGCTACTAGTGAGAAAGGGTTCTAATTTCTGCAAAACATTCTAACAACAACAGAGAGGCAGCAATTCTCTTAAACAATTGTTTGGTTAATACTTCGTCTTAATCATCTCCTCTAAAGGAAAAAAACATTCTGATGTTTTGAATGCTCTTTAAACACTACATTAGAGTACACAAAAACATCTGTGATACAAGTTTATGGACCTTTGTATTCTAGTTTCTGTTTCAGAATTATTACACAACTTATCAATATCTAAATACAAGTGTGGAATAAAGCTATACATTGATAAGATTTCAGTTCAGTTAAATTTTTTTTTTAAATACACGTCTTAGTGGTTTTGCCTGGCACTATGCCAGTGCCATTAGAAGACTGCAGTTCGTTATCAGCCCCCTCATTCGCACCTCACCAGCTTCCTGTGTGGGAAAACCTTAGTACCATTGAGTGTGAACGTAGTTACAAACAGAATAAGAAACAGGTTTGCATGTGACATGGGTGTCCACGACCAGGATGCTGACGTAAAAAATTTGTAATGTGTAACGGTCTGTAAACTACAGCAGAACGAACAAAAAGAAATATACTCGGGGAGGCATAAAGAACTGATTGGCCAATTTAGAAGAGGTTCTGGCTTCCTTTAGCTAATCCTAATTGTATTTTATAGATAAAAACCAATATAAAGATAGAAGTGGTGAGTCTGAGCTGTAAAGGAGCAGTCAATTTAGCTCAAATCAGTTATACCAATGCTCGATTTCATTTGAATAATTATGGAGCATCTGTTCAGTTCCTTATAAATATATATATATGTAAAACGTTTTTGAGCTTTATGTAGCCATAAAGAGACGATTTTTTGAAGTTTGGACCAACGTTCACTGTCCTCTAAAAATGGAGAAACTAGTATGGTTTCCCTCCCATTTTGGATCCCACGCTCAAGATGACTATGCTGAGAAGCAAGCATTAACAACTATGATGTTCAGTGTGTTCCAGATAACATGAATACACGTAAAATGTTAGCTAAACACAACACATACCATCATAAGCCAGTTATAACTTAATATTAGTTAGCTCGGGGTGGCTAACATGCTGTGCAACTCACCACACTGCACGGCTGTGTCGCATTTCTCGAAGTCGTTGCTTTGCCCAGGAAGAGGCTGTTTTTCTCTTTGATAACTGCCCGATTGGCTTTTCGCGTTCTCAAACTGGCTGCATTTTGTTCTGAGGTCCTCATTCTCCTTCTTGATTTTGCATATTTCTGCCTTCAGCTCGTCAACCATAGTTTCGTAAAGTTTCGTGGTTTCTGCAACAGCGCTCTTCAGCATGCTCTCCATGAAAGAGGCATACTTCGTCTGAAAATCGTCCGAAGACATCTTGTTTGTCGTACTGTACTTCCTGGATACAGATACGAGCCCACCTGAAAGAGTGTCTTTACTCTGGCGTTTTTTTTAAAGGCACGCCGTCAGAAGCTCCGCCAACATGGCTTCTTCACATGGACGGACGGACGGACGGACGCGATCTCTGCTTTGTGTGACGCACATTGGATGACTGACTTACGCAAGCATCCGGTGTTTCACTTCAAGCCAAACTTTGCTTTTTGAAGAAGTTCAGTCAGTGAACAAAAAATAAACTAGGAAATCTGTCGGCGCCGAATTATTATTACTACCGTCGTATAATCCCACACAACACCAAGAGACCTCAATCTTTTCGTTGCAGCTGAGATTATGCTTTCTTGTTCGTCGATTTTGCTTTAACCGCAGTTGGTAAACAGCTTTTAAGAGCATTACCGCCACCGTCTGGATTGGAGGATTAATCGGAACTTTAAGATATCCGGGGTGTCGAACTTGTTTTAGTTCATGCATAACTTTAATTTATTCCATGTGCTTTTTTATTTACTTTTATTTATTGATTTACCGACTTTTACTTACTCCTCTTCCTCCAAAAGTGAATGAACTGATCTTTAAAATCGTAAAGAATATTTTCCAAATAAGTCATTACTTAGACTCCATCTCATCGTATCTGTAGCATCCTCTTCTGTCACACACAGCCTCTGCATGTCCTCTTTGACTAGTTTAAGGAACCATCTCTGTAGTTACTATCGCTCGTTTTGACATTAATAAAATTATTTATTAATGACTGCACTGCAATTTTCAAATTTTGCCTTTCATCAAGCCAAACTGAACCCTTTCATGGGCTGGTTGTGCCCCACATAACACGTGCTCATATGCTAAAACAGTTATCTTTTTAATCTACTTGTTGTCTAAAAATGACACAAAAAGCACACACGTTACACGGAGAAAACACGTTTCACTTCCTGTCTCATAAGTGAAAGAGGTGAACTTTAAGATGCAAAATGGGATTTAACTGAAGCAACAAAAAGGTTTAATTTGGATGTGAAACTGTTTATTTATGGAACAGTATCCTAATATGACAATACTTCTCCACCCTTGTCATTTAGTGCTCTTTAAGCACGTTTCCCACTGGAACCAGTTCTCTTTTCTTTCTTCCGTAGCATGAAAATTGTTCCAATCGACGACCCGTATTTAGATACCGGAAGTGTCGTTGTTTACGGAATCGGGAGAAATGTCATAACGCAAGAGTAAAGCTAAGCTACGGAATTACTTTTTCTACTAAGCCTGAGTTCTAAATACACGATATGTAAAGAATGCGATCATTTATGTCAAAAATCTCAAGCGAGCTTATGTTTTTTTCCAAATTAAATAGTGTCCAGAATCCGTTAAACATAAATCAGAACTAATGGAGCGAGCTAGTTGCAGCTAACGTTAGCATGACACTTTGTTTAAACAGCAGGGTTCATGAAAGCAACCAAGCTGTAAACTCGGACAACCGATACAATCCATAAATCATTAACTACACAAAAAGCACGTGTAAGAAACGGACACATCTACCTTAGAGACACCGACTTTAGCTGTAGCCAGTCAACAACAACAGGCTTTGAATTGCCAGTCATTTTTTCTCCTCCTTTTCCGTTTATTAAAAAGACTTTAAGCCACAGCGAAGTTATAATGGCGGAGACTATACTAACGTTTCAGTCACAGCTTTCTGGCGTCATGGAGACGGTGTTCAAGGCTGCTATGTATGAGATCACCCGGTTGGTGGAGGACAGTTTTTTGGAAGAGGTAACGCGGTGCCGGGAGCAGGTTGAGTCCTTAAAGAGACGACTGAAGTGGTCGGAGACTCGTCGCAAAGAACGAGAGGGAGACTGGAGAGGGAGATGCATTGACTGTGGAAAAGTCGGGATATCCAGTGAGAACCAACCCAGAACCTCAGGTGGGTCTTTCTAGGGTTAGTCGTCCATGTTTTACCTGTATTTATTTTCTTAAGGCTAATGAAGAGTTAACCTTTCATTAGAATTAACATTACATTAACAATTCCATTACAAACAAAACTAGGTGTATAAATATTGCAAATATTTTAAGAAATGTGATTATTTAAGTATTTGGGGTTGGACTACACTACCTCAGGCCACAGCTGTATAAATGCAGCATACACAGAATACATTTTAAACACTTTGTGGTTGTTTTAAAATTTTGCCTGGAAATAAAGGTACTTCCAGTGCATAAACTTGCATTACATATTCTTTAATCTGCATTACTCACACTGTGGTGCCTGACTTCTGCATATCTTACTTGTGTAACTAGTACTTATGAAGCCAGGTTGGAGAATTTGATCACAAATGAATAAACACTTTCTGGCTGCTTCATTAGTTACTCCAGTTCAGCTGTTCATTAACACAAATAATATAGAGCCAATCACATAGCAGCAACTCCATGCATTTAGGCATGCAGACATGGTCAAGACAACGTGCTTAAGTTCAAATCAAGCACCAGAATGCGGAAAAAAGTTAATTTAAAATACTTTGAACTTTGTCTGTACAACTTTGTAATATACTGCTACATCTCTTCCCCCAAAGAAGAAATCTATAATTCTATTTCTTGTGGGTTTTAAGAGAAACATAATCATGTTTCTTTTGACTATGTTCATAGCCACATATTCACATATTTCTCCTTTTGGCTTTTGGATTTGTAACCCTAAGTTAAACATACTGGGGAAAATAAAGAGATTCTGATCACCCACTGTTAATTATGATTTTTACTAATCACCAAAAATTGTTTCCTTTTTTGCTGCTTAAAGAAGATTGCTAGAGCTCAGAGGCAATCTTCTTGACATTATATAAGTCAACTGACCTTTGCCTTATTTTGTTTTCTAAATCTTTGAAATTCTATTATTTTCAGAGAAAAGCCTGAAACAGGAGATTGTGCTTCATGAAGAAATAAATAGTTCCCAGGGAGCTGATGGATGTACACTGAGCCATGAGAAGGAAGGAGAGGAAAAAATAGAGCGCCAAAGTGCCACAAAAGCAACGCAGGTATGATAGTTTTATTACATTATACAGCTTTATAAATTTACAAAACAAAAGTGTATAAAATGTGTGTTTAAGCCACTTAGTCTCATATTATGGGGTATAGAGCCACTGCAGGGAGTGTGATAAACCAAGGAAACATTTGTGGTATGGGTAAACTGACGAAATGTGATTTTTATTTATTTATTTATTTTTTTGGGGGGGGTGAGGGGGAGACATGTTCACTAATGTTCTCTTGGTGAGCCATGCACCATGAAAATTGAATCATTTATATTGTTAAAAATTGTGGGGGTATGGGAACTGACTGTGCACATTACACAGCATCCATGTAATATTTTTAAGTATTTTAATTATTTTTTGTTTGAAAAACCCTTAAGCATTACGTTAGATCTGCTTGCCAAAGTTAGGGTTCTACTTAAGGCAACTAAGGTAAAACCTGATGGATTAATGTTGCCTTTCCACTTTTTTTCCCCAGTCATCAGGTATTCAAGGCACTGGACTGTTCAAGGAAGAAGCTCTTCAGATCCAACCAGAAAATGATGAGTCGCAAGGGTGGCACATCAGCTTAGATGGTAAGTCTCTGTGCAAGTACATGCAGAAAATTTAACAAATTAATTTCTCGTTAATTTTTCAAGTGCTGTACAAATAGAGACAACACAATGTATGGTGTATATTGAATGCAGTGAGGCTATTTTAACTTTTTCTCACTACTCGTGTTTCAGAAGCAGATGTGTCAGCTCTTCCAGGACCCAGTAAATGTTTTAATGACCAAAAGATCCCAAAGTGCCAAGTAAATTGGGAAACTGGATTTGAGCAGAGAACAGAATCAAACAATGATGGACATTCGGGTGAACCGACTGAACCTCTGTTCCCAAACAGGTACGGCATGGAAGACTTAGATGGCATTGACAAGTCTGGATATGGAGACACTGGAATGATAGACATGGGTAATTTTGATGGGATACATTCACCATCGCACCTGGGCAAAGATCTGAGTTATGTGGGCCATTATGATGAGGATGTGGAAACACCAGAAGGAGCTGATCATCAAACTTACCAAACAGGCACTCAGCGGAATAGAAAGGATCAGGAAGGTTCACCCTCAGGTTCCCCCTCTAGGACTAACATTGATGTAAGTGGAGAGTTCAGCTGTTTACTAATTAATGAGGAGGGGTATCTGCAGGACACAAATGTCTTGTACCCTGAACAAGTGTCCAGTGATTCAGGTAGTAGATTCAGCTTCCGCGGCCAGGGTATTCGTATTGGCCCTTCTCTAGACAGCACTGAGGATATGTATGAGCCTTCAGATACGTACAGCGATACCTTAAACGTGGGACAACAGATGCAACCTCAGGCAACAGTGAGAGGAGCAAGGAGATACACTTGTAACCAGTGCTCCATGTCCTTTCCGGATTCTGCTTCCCTCAAGGCTCACAAACACACACACAAAGGCACTGGACAAGTGCCCCCATACTCCTGCAACCAGTGTGGAAAGACCTTTACTCAAGCTTGTAACCTTAAAGTCCACCAAAGGACTCATTTAGGGCAAGGGGTTCACCTCTGCAGCCATTGTGGTAAAGGTTTTCCTTCATTTTCTGACCTAAAGGCACACAAATGTGGTCAAGTAGGGGACAAGCCATATTGCTGCACAGTATGTGGGAATAAGTTCAGCCGTCTATGGAATCTTAAGTTGCACCAGAGAATTCACACACAGGAAAAACCTCATCGGTGCACCATGTGTGACAAGAGCTTCACAAGAGCAGACATATTGAAGGTTCACCAGCGTACCCACACAGGGGAAAGACCATACTGCTGCACTGTTTGCGGTCTCAGCTTCAAACGCCTGGATCATCTGAAATCCCATCAACGCAAGCACATGACAGATCTATAATTCCTTGGGAGAAGAAGTATCAAATTATTTAATATTATTTGTGCTATCTGAAGGTTTAAGTGAATATTTATATTAATGAGCCTGTGATGGATAGATAAGGTCTATCACATTCAGTTAAACAAGTCTCATTTGTAATCAGTTACTGCTGCATATTTTATACTCATTAAAAATATACTGCCTTGGAGTATAACTGAAGAACTTGACCAACAATATCTTTGTGATTACTCAGCTGATTGAAAATAAAACTGGCTTTAGATGCCATCGTCTGTTTATATTCTTGTTTCCTGAAGTTAGTTCTTGGCACATACTTCCTAATGACGTCACCCAGGTAGTAATGGAGTAATGTTTTGATTTTCACTGTTGCCTCCCACCAAGAAGGTACTTAGTTCAATTCCACCATCAGCAGGGGTCTTTCTGTGTGGAGTTTGCATGTGTTTGCGTGGGTTCTACTCTAGCTTCCTTCCATAGTCCAAAGGCATGCAGATAGTGGAGATAGGTTAATTGGAAACTTTAAATTGCCCATGGCGTGAATGTGAGTCAGAATGGCTGTCTATGTCAGTGGTTCTCAAACATTTTACATCATTCCCCACATGACACGCCCCCTCTAAACACAAGAAAGAAAGAAAAGCCTAGCTGCACAATGAATCCTTCAGTTATTTTTGCTTTAAACAAACAACTTTCATTTCAAACAACTATTTGTAACTTTTGTCACTACACTACTTCATTACTCTGCAACACTTCTTCAAAAAAGCAACCAGTTAAACAGAATTTGAACATTGCCAAACATGGAAAAATACAGTTCAGTCTTAGTCTTAAAACACTTTTTATTAAAAAAACAAACAAATCCAGAAACTTGTGAACAGAAATGAAGGGGATATATAATTTAGTGTGAGTTTAGTACTATTCACTTAGTGGCTGCAGTGAGCCTGTTTTTGACTGCAGAGCTGTGGTGGGGCATGGTCTGTGGGGGAGGCGGACGCACCTGAGCGGCATCCCCAATCACGTCTCGCCGGCTTGAACTAGGTCCTGTTGTTGTTGATGTGTGTAGGCTGTAGCTGAAACACTGCAGTTGCATGTGTAAGTCGCCAGCCGCAATAAAAAAGTGTACTGAAAAGTGCAAACGCGGTCAGGTCTTTTTTTGCCCCAATTCTGGGTTTGACCTGACCACATATTCGCAGTTTTCAGTACACTTCTTTATTGCGACTATCAACTTACACAAACGGCTGCAGCTTTTCAGCGGATGCGCATATTATTTATGTAACTGCTGCGAATTTCTTTGTACCGCCATGAAAGTGATCCCGATGTTAATCATTAGTTCCACATAACTTTTCTGCCAGGTAACTTGTGCCCCACCTGCCACACACTTTGAGAACCACTGGTCTATGTGCTAGCCCTGCGACCTGTCCAGGGTGTACCCTGCCTCTTGCCTTTAGACAGCTGGGATAGGGCCCCCCCGCTCGACCCAGGAAAGGCTAAGTCGAAGAGATGGATGGATATCTGTGTACTTTGTTGTGTTTCTTGGTCAATTCACCATCTGTGTGGAGCAAGAAATTATATAAACATCTGTAGTTTGTAGACTGAGCCTAGCATAAGTCTGACCTCAGCTTCTTCAAATGCTTTATTTGATGTTGTAAGATCTGGTATTGATTGGAAAAGTCAATAAGAGCTTCTAGATTTACAAGAGTAAAGAGAAAAGGTTGACTCAGGAAAAACACAAGATGCAACAACTGTGTGTGTGTGTGTTTTTTAACTTTTGTCTAAATTAGAATTAGAATTAGAATTAGAATTCAACTTTATTGTCATTGCACATGCACAGGTACAGGGCAACGAAATGCAGTTTGCATCCATCCAGAAGTGCTTTAGTGATATAGATATATTACAATATATATTAGCAATAATATAGATATGTGAGTATATTACAGAAATGGGTCTATTATGGTATGTTATAATGTACACGGTATGAAGTATGTTGTGAATATTCTATAATTATAAGTATGTACAGGCTGTAGTGAGTACAAGCTATGTACAGGCTATGAACAGGATATAAATATGAAAAACTATACAGAATATGAAATAAATAACTTTACAGAAATCTGAGATATACAGTTATACAGAAATGGGAACTATGCAAGTTGTAAACAGTTGTAGGATTAAAAATGATCGAATGTACAGAATGATTATTTACACAGAGCTATACAGTAGTGCAGTTAAGATAAGTGAGGATGTAGATAGTTTCTACAGAGGCTATATAAAGTGCTAGTGGTTGTGAGTGGTGGTTCAGTCCATGTTATTATTGTGTGTTTGAGGGTACAGTTGTCCATTGTGGGTGTGTGTATGTTCAGTCCATGTGTTAACGTGGGTCAGATGTCAGGAGGCAGAGTTCAGGAGTCTGACAGCTGTGGGGAAGAAGCTGTTCCGGTACCTGGTGGTCTTAGTCCGGAGGCTCCTGTGGCGCCTCCCAGAGGGCAGGAGGGTGAAGAGTCCATGTGATGGGTGACTGGGGTCTCTGATGATTTTCCCAGCCCTTTTCAGACACCGCTTCCTGTAGATGTCTTTTATGGCAGGAAGTGGTGCTCCGGCGATGCGCTGGGCAGTTTTCACGACCCTCTGTAACGCCTTCCGGTCCGAGGCAGAGCAGTTCCTGTACCAGACTGTTATACAGTTGGTCAGGATGCTCTCGATGGTGCAACGATAGAAGTTCACCAGGATGTCTGAGGACAGGTGGTTCTTCCTCAGAGTCCTCAAGAAGAAGAGGCGCTGGTGAGCCTTCTTGACAACCTTGGAGCAGTTGGTCGTCCAGGTGAGATCCTCGGAGATGTGGACTCCCAGGAACTTGAAGCTGCTCACACGCTCCACAGCCGTCCCCTTAATGTGGATGGGTGGATGTGGGTCAGCATTCCTCCTGTAGTCCACGATGAGCTCCTTGGTCTTCTCGGTGTTAAGCAGCAGGTTGTTTGTGTCGCACCACTCAGCCAGACGATCCACCTCCTCCCTGTAGGCGGCCTCATCGTTGTCACTGATAAGGCCAATCACCGTGGTGTCATCTGCAAACTTAATGATGGTGTTGGAACCATCAGTAGGTCTGCAGTCGTGGGTGAAGAGGGAGTAGAGGAAAGGGCTCATCACACAGCCTTGTGGTACACCGGTGTTCATTGTGATGGTAGATGAGCAGCGGTTATCCAGCCGGACATGTTGGGGGCGGTTGGTCAGGAAGTCCAGTAACCATTTGCAGATGAGGGAACTGATGCCCAGGTCTGTCAGTTTCCTGATGCGTTGCGAGGGGTGGACTGTATTGAACGCTGAACTGAAGTCTATAAACAGCACTCTGGCGTAGGTGTTGTTGTTGTCCAGGTGTGCGAGGACAGAGTGCAATGCGATGGAGACTGCATCCTCTGTGCTCCTGTTCTGGCGGTATGCGAATTGGTGGGGGTCCAGGGTGGGGGGGAGACAGGATTTGAAGTGTGCTAGGACCAGCTGCTCTAAGCACTTAGTGATGATGGGAGTGAGTGCTACTGGGCAGTAGTCATTGAGGCAAGATGGGTTGGAGTTTTTGGGTATCGGGACGATGGAGGTGGATTTGAAGCAGGCCGGTACCACAGCGTGGGCCAAGGACAGGTTGAATATGTCTGTCAGCACTCCTGCAAGCTCCCCAGAACACGCTCTGAGAACACGCCCGGGGATGCCATCAGGACCTGCAGCCTTGTGGACATTGATCCTGCTCAGCACCGCTCCTACATCGGTGGGGGAGAGAGTCAGAGGTTGGTGGTCTGGCGTCACGTCTGCTTTGGTTGTGGTTGTGGGGTTCCCTCGCTCAAAACGAGCATAAAAGTTGTTGAGCTCGTTGAGGAAGGAGACATCAGAGGATGCGGGGGAGGGTTTGGTGGTCCTGTAGTCTGTGATGGTCTGGAGTCCTTGCCACATGCGTCGGGGGTTGGAGTTGGAGAAGTGTTCTTCTACCTTCTTTTTGTAATGGTGTTTGGCTTTTTTGATGCCCTTCTTTAGATTAGCCCTGGCTGTACTGTAGGCGTGTGCATCTCCTGACCTTAAGGCGGTGTTGCGGGCCTTCAGGAGGAGATGAACATCCCGGTTCATCCAAGGCTTCTGGTTGGGGTACATGGTGATCCGTTTCTGGGTGGTGACACTGTCTGTGGTTTTGGAGATGTAATCCAGTACAGATGAGGCGTACTGGTCCAGGTCTGTGTGGGTGAACATATTCCAGTTAGCTACTAAAGAGAATCCTTTATGACAAAATAAGATTTTTTTGTAAATGTTTGTATATAATAAAGAGCCATACAAATAAAACAATTGACAGCTGATAGATACAGACTCAAAGAAGATGTTCTGCCCAATATTTAAAATACACACATTTGTTGCCTTCATGAAGCGCAAAAAAGAAGCAGAGATGTCAGAATAATACTTTTTTAACAGGGGCTTTTTTCTTCAACAGTCAGTTTTGTTTGCTCATGAAATATGAATTCATACAACTGATGAATCTTTTATGGTAAATGTAACCATCCCTACCACACACACCAAACAGCACTGTGATCTAGACAGCAGCTGAATAGTCTTGGTCCCATGTCTATTAGGAGCCTGTGTTCTCAAAACAAATTCAGAGGCACTGTTTTTATAGTTTAAAAGTCATGTTGTCTGTTTATTGCCTAATGAAATCTAGGGCCTGATACATTTAAATATTTTTTTAAAGGAATAGAAAGAGTACAATCAAATTACTTTGATTCATTTTATGTTACGATTTCATTTGTTTACCTAATGTTTTTATTTTGCTGTTAAAAGAAGTAATATTATTATTAGTATTATGTACACTAGCATTTTCCTTAAAGACATTTCCACCACCTTGTGGTGGTAAAAATTGGTGCATACTATCCTCACAAGAATGCTGGAAGTTAATTTTCTGAGGCTCAAAGGTTTGTTGTGGGGATATGAGACAGAACTGTAAACTCAGTGAAGTAGATTTAATTTAAGGTCTGGACTCAGGGAAAAACCACTGCCTCTTCTGTTTGTGTAAAGAAGTTTAGCTACATATTTAATTCTCAAGATAAAAAAAAAAGTGGAAGAAAACTTAGTTTTTCTACATGATAGAAAAACTACGACAAAACTAATAGTTTTTTAGTAAAAGAAAGAAATAATGTGCAAAAGAATAAGTTCTGTTAGTTCTAACTGCCCATAAATTCTGTAGTAGACAGTAAAAAAATAGGAGATTTTCTGTCATTTAATTATCTAATACTTAATTACTTTCATGTAGTATGAAAAGT